TAGGTAGAATGAAGAAAATTTATAAAATTATATTTATACAGTGAAATTTTACTTAGCCATAAAGAAGAATGAAATTATGTTATTTGCTGGTAAGTGGATGGAACTGGAGAACATCTTTTTTGGAGGCAGGGGTACCAGGGCTGAACTCAGAGACATTCAATCATTGAGCCACATCCCTAGCTCTATTTTGTATTTATTTAGAGACAGGGTGTTACTGAGTTGCTTAGCACTTCTCTTTTGCTGTGGCTGGCTTTGAACTTGTGATCCTTCTGCCTTAGCCTTCCAAGCCCCTGGGATTACAGGTGTGTACCACTGTGCCCTGTTGGAGAACATCTTCCTAAATGAAGTAAGCAGGCTCAGAAAGTCAAAGGCTCAATGTTTTCTCTCATATGTGGAAGCTAGAGAGAAAAAGTAATAAAAAAGATATCTCACTGGACTGGTGTTGTGGCTTAGTGATAGAGTGCTTGCCTAGCATGTGCGAGACACTGGGTTTGATCCTCAGCACCACATAAAATAAATAAATAAAATAAAGGTATTGTGTCCATCTACAATTAAAAAATTTTTTTTTAAAAAGGATCTTGGGCTGGGGATGTGGCTCAAGTGGTAACACACTCGCCTGGCATGTGTGGGGCGCTGGGTTTGATCCTCAGCACCACATACAAATAAAATAAAGATGTTGTGTCCACCGAAAACTGAAAAATAAATATTAAAAAAATTCTCTCTCTCTCTCTTTAAAAAAAAAAGTATCTCATCAAAATCCAGGGGAGATCAATAGAGTAGAGGAAGGGGATAGAGGGAGACAGAGGAGGGGAGGGGTAAAAGAGGTTCTGGGGAATTAAATTAACCAAATTGTGCTATGTGCATATATAAATATATCACAATGAATTTCACCTTAATGTGTAATTATAAATGCACCAAGTTAAAAAAAATTGAGGGGAGACCAACAGAGTAGAGGAAAGGGATCAAGGAGAAGGAGGAGGGAAGGTTCAAGGGAATGAAATTGATCAATTTATGTTAGCTGTTTTTACATATTTCGCAACGAATGACTCTTGCTATTATGGATAATCATAATATAACAACAAAAACAAAAACATTGAGGTGTGGGCTAGGGGTATAACTCAGTGGTAGAGTGCGTTTGCAAGGCCCTGTGTTCAATACCCAGTTCCAAAAAATGAAAGTCTGAACCAGTAGTCTTCTTGCCTTATGCATATCACGTGGGTTCAGTTCACTATACTTCTCTGCTCCTCCCTCCCAGACTGGTGAAGTTCTCTGTATTGTGGAAGTATCAGAGGGAGAGCAACATTCCAGCCAACATGTTGAACTGCTGGAGGAGTGTGGGAGTCTCGTCAGTGGTTGCAAACACTTTTCTAAGTTTGTAAACTTTGGATAAACCAAATTATTTTCTGTAATGCATGGATCAATTATGTGAGGGAAGTTGAGAACTCAGCCATGTGTAAAGTTACAAATAAGACTGATGTTAAATTATAGTATGCTTATGATTTAAGACTCAAAAGTAGGGTCCACAGCATGATAATGGATAGCAGCATGAGTGTATTGTTCCATTTCAGGAAAGAGAGGATTGAGAAAATAGGGAGATTGGTTGAGGGAAAGAACAGACTTTAGGGCTCTAAGGGTCTAAACATACCTTCTCTCTACCCAGTGAGATGCTCTGGATTCTCAGAAAAATAATTGATCTCAGAAAAATAATAATGATAGAGTTATCGCTTGTTTTTCAATTACTGAAGAAATTTTAGAACTCTCAAGTACATATAAAGAAATTGGGGTTCAAATAGAAGCATCCAATTTAAGTACAATAGTGGTTTTGATGTGCATCTGTACTTTATTATTTTTTATCTGATTTTATACTATGGAATTAAGGGTTATGGACTAGGATAACAGAGGAAATGACATTTTCACTTTTTAAAAGTCCAAGTGTCCTTTGCATTAAAATACCACGTGAGTATTGATTGTAGTGACCATAAGATGTGAGCCTCTGGGAACTTTTGGTGTAGAAAATGAGGTTAGAGAGCAGAATGAGTGTGCAAGTGCCTCCTGCTCAGAATGTGTGCACAGGACTGTCTCAGAAGTACTGCTTGTTGCAGGTAGATTTGTATCCGGTTTAATGCACATACTTAGCTTCATCAGGAATTATCTGTTGGGCATCTACCATGCATAAAACTTGGCACATTCATACAAAGATGAATGTCAAGACCTAGGGTTTTTTAAATATTTATTTTTTAGTTATAGGTGAACACAATATCTTTATTTTATTTTTATGTGGTGCTGAGGATCGAACCCAGTGCCTCACGCATGCTAGGTGAACGCTCTATCTCTGAGCCACAACCCCAGCCCAAGAACCAGTTTTTATATTCAAAGTGTTTACAATCTGGTTAGGACATAAGATACATATACTGTCATAAAACAAGTATGGTTAAAAAGTATTATAGGGCAATACAAGGAACAGAGGCCTAGGGAATGAAAAATTCTTCATGGGGAAGATGGAAGTTTTGCTTAAGGAAGTGATTATCCAATTGGACAGTTCCCAGCCAGCAGCACCTGCATCCTGGAACTTGTTAGAAATGTGAGTTCTCAGATTCCACTTCAGAACGTGGGGATCAGGAGCCCCCAGGAGTTGAGCAGCAATTTGTGTTTACAAGCTTAAGTTTGGACATCACTTTACCAAGGAAATGGTGGCTGAAAGATGTGCTGACTGAATTTAGGGAGGAACAACAACTGGCACATATAAGGTACATGAGGATGGGTGCCTAAATGAAGGGGACTGGTTAAAGGGACCTAGTGTTTTTTGTGCCATTTAGTTTAGTTTCTGTTTAAGAGAATTCTTTCTGAATGTAGCTAAATCCTTTTTTCACCTAAATGTCCTTTATAAGTATGTTGTCATTTTGATCTCTTATTATTTACAGTGTTTGTACCTCCTGGATGAGGAATAAAATGTACATGTTTATATCATTATTCAAAGCCTCTGGAAAATGTAGAAAACACACATCTGTTTTGTATCTAACTACCTGATAAAAAATTCATATACAGTAGATGTTTCAAAAGAGAATTTCATGACTTTTCATCAGATCCTAGGTAAATATCTGTTAGAGATTGAAGTTTTAAAACTAAAATTGAGTTTTTATACATAAAGAGTGGGGTGTATTCCCCTAGTACCTCTATTACCTATTTTATAAAATATAGGGCTTGGGGGCATTTTTAAGGCTCTGTCTCTCTCTTCTCTTGTGGTTTTTAGGCCAGACCCTAGGTAATTGGAAAAGTTGGTTTGGAGCCACACGTGAACCCCTTGTTAGGTGGGCACAGGATATTGAGAGGAGGCTCTGCTTCCAGTCTTTGCTCTCCCAATCACCATGTGCCTAAAACTGAAAATACTTTTATAGTGCTGTATAAGTAATCTTCTGATTCTCTATTAAAAAGAGAAAGTTATCTCTTTTTAACCCATGACCAAACTATGGCCCTGCAGTTAAGCTTTAAGCTCAACGTGTTCTCCTTCCTGAAAAATGAATTCATCTTCTCCTAATCTGATTATTTATTTTTTAGTTGTAGTTGGACACAATACCTTTGTTTTATTTATTTTTATGTGGTGCTGAGGATCTAACCCAGGGCCTTGCACATGCTAGGCGAGCACTCTACCACTGAACCACAACCCCAGCCCCTCCTAATCTGATTTTGACTCGATACTGTCAATTTAGCATGTGCCATGGAGAAGCCAAGCTATTGCCATAGGTGTACTGCAATCTTTATTTCTTAAGGGAGAGTGCATTTTAGATCTTTTTTGAGTTCATTTTAGGGAGACTTTCAGGGATAGAATATATAGTCATGTGTTAGGGCTGTGCTACATCAATTTTTCCTCATATGTGTGGAGTGAAATACATGGCTACCATATGTGAAGATATATTTAAAGCTTCCTATAACCAAAGAGCCAGCCAAGGGTTCACCAAATTTTAGGGGTCTGTTAATATTTCTTGAGCCAGATTCCAGGATGAGAAAAAGAAAATTGGGGCAATCATTTGTTGTTGGGTTTTTGTTTGTATCAGATTTTACCTGTATTCTAGGGAACTATAATTTTTATTTCTTCTAAAAGGAAAATTCGGGGCTTTGTGGTGTAACTCAATGGCAGAGTACTTTCCTTGCATGGCAAGGCCTTGGGTCCAGTCACCAGCACGATAGGTAGATAGGCAGAAAATGTTTTATCCATGAACTCATAGAATGATATTGATTTTATAACATTATTCTTAATTTTCAGATGACGTATGTTAGTATCAGAAGTCAAAATTGAAGTGGCTTTTGTCCTAGGGCTTTCTCAACTTGGATGTTTGAACTAAGTGCAAGAGTTTTGAGGGTTTATGGCTTGTCATTATCGTTACTCTTTTTGCTTACTAATTTTTTCCCTATATTAAAGCAAGAGAATGTCCATACTCGCTTCCTTCTCCCTACATCACCATAATATACATTTAGTCCTACATTTGGGCTGCTGTCTCTCACTTGCTATGGGTAGAGTTTTGCAAGGTTGCAGAGAAAGACCTGTCAGCTGACACTTGCTCACATGAGAGCCATTAAGAGGGTGGTGTGGCCAATGTCAGAACAACCTTGCAGCTGAAGGCAAGTCACTGCAACTGCCCAGAGCCATATGAATAGTCTTGTGACCAATTAATTGACTACAACATAATCTCCAGCTAGGGAGCGCAGATGGAGTGAGTCAGTCCAAGCTGCTCAACCTGTTGAGTGTTTTTTCTTTTGCTAACTCGAGTACAAGCTTGGGAACAAAAGTAGGAAGTGGGATTTGTACTCGTCTATGTTTATAATGGGTTTGCTGAGAGCATGTTTTATAACGTGATGGATGCATTTGACTTCCTAAATCATCCATGGGCTTAATTTACGTAACAAATAAATGTTCCTCTTTTTTTTTTTTTTTATTCTTAAAGAGGAAATTAGTAGGCTGTTGCCAAGTAGCTTGTCTCATATACTGTATAGGGAGTGAAATGATAGCTTAGAACTGCTGTTCGCTGTGGAATATTCCTCAAATAACAAAGGAACTTCAAGATTTGCGTCCAAGTCCACGTTTACATTGATGGTTGGGATAAACCGGAAGAACATTAAACCACTCCGAAGATGTGTGGCGGCACAGCAAAAACCACAAACCGGCCAGGAGGCTGGCAAGATTCGGCCAGATGTGTGAGTGGTGTCGTCTCTGGTGCTGGGAGAATTTACAAGGCACTTTTATGCACAAAGATTCGAAAATGTGCTGGGGTTGGAAGGGGCACTGATCACACGGAACCAGATGACAGGTTTGAAACTTTAGTTCTATTTTAAAGTCTCAGAGAAAGTTTTAATTCACTGGTACCAAGTAGATAGAGTTGTATTGACCTGAAAGTTGTTTTTCAGTAATGCCTCAAAGTGGGAGAAATGGGCTTACTGATGTGTGTATACAGAGAAGACTTTTCCTTTATGGAAAAAGTTTTAGGCTTGGGCATTTTTTAGAGATTCTTATGTTTCTACTACCCATCTGCTTTCTTAACTTTTCATTATGTTTGCTGGAGCCAACTTAAAAGAAATGGTTATATCATTTTCCTTTTGTTGCAACTTCAACAATACTATTTGCATTTATTTATGGGGGAAAAAGTTGTAGTCCTGAAGTACCTCCATACCTAGTAGTAGACAGGGCACAGGATTGTGCTTCTTCCTAGCTGCACGGTAGGTGAATGTCTGTGCCTTCTGGTGGAGGCAGGGTGCTGAAGGAGAGCCCAGTCTCCCTCTGGAAAATCCTTTTCATGAGAGAGGGATAATTTTAATACCGGAGCTTGTCTAAAAAGAATAACTTTATACTTGGTATATTCTTCTAGGTTATTTCATCTACTTTGGAAGAATTCATTAATTTCACTAGTAATGGAACTTAATTGAAACACTATTTGTAAGGAATTTTATTGCATATAAAAAAACAAGAAGAAGAAAGAAAGGAAAAACTATGAGAATTATGTTTCATTTCAAAATCTTATGTCTTTCAATAGTAAGGAGAACCAAAGGTTAAGCTCTGCTTCTCACGAATAGTATAAAATAAAGTTTCTAAATTCATTTAAATGCTTTTTTCTTACAGGAATTTGCTCAAAATGAGCACATTTTATAAGCTGTTTATCTCATAAGTATGTTCATTCATTTGAATGACAAATAACCAGGATATAGTTTCTGTCATGTAAAAATCCTTGAGGAGAAACTTAATTAAAGGGTAAATACTTCACTATAATCTGAGAACCCAGTAGATTAGAGAGTTAGAAGGGGGAAGTCACTTCAAAAGTGTTGGGTCATATGTTGTCCACTCAAAGAGATATGTTTGTAGAAGAGGAGGTAATGAATGATGTGGTATTTTAGAAAAATACATTTGAGTATTCAGATAAGGATTTCACTTTTATAATGTTTTTATCTATTTCTTATCAAGAAAGGACAGCTGGGTGATAGGAGAGTAATGAAATGGCTCAGTGTATCTGAATCTTGATTGAGATCCCCAGCTCTGCTGCTCAGGAGTCTTATAACCATGGGGAGGTCTCTAGGATTTTCTGGGTCTCACTCTCAGTTGTTAAACTATATGGTAGATTCATATTACTTTAAAATTATTTTCTAAAATATTCTAAGATATACTATTAGGACCTTCTGTATTCTGTATTTTGGTTACCCTATAGAATTCCACCTCTCCTAGTAAGTTATTTGGTGTACACCATTTAAAAAAAAAAGATTATATAAGATGCTAACCTTTCAGTGACTTGGCTGTTTTGGGTAGGATTTTAACTATTTTTATTTAAGCAACACTTTAAACTTAATGAAATGTTTTTGTACCCATTCCCCCTTTCTTTATCCCCCCCCCTTTTTTTCTGTACTGAGCATTTAACCACTGAGCCATATCCCCAGCTCTTTTCATTTTTTATTCTGAGACAAGGTCTTGCTCAGGGCCTTGATAAGTTGCTGAGGCCGGCTTTGAACTTCTTGTGCTCCTCCTGCCTCAGCCTCCCGAATCACTGGGATTACATGTGTGTGCCACCCCTTTATCTTAACGTCCTTTAGATTTACTTTCCTAATGCTAAGGTTTTTAAAAAAAATTTTTTTTTTACAATGATGACATAGATTTTTAGATTAATTTGGAATTAATTGGAATTAATCTCTGGTTACCAGATGCCTTGGTAGACGTCATCCATTTTCTCTTCCCTTTGTTACAGTCTTAAGAATATATGTGTTCTTTGCAGTATTATGCTGATTTCCAGCTTTGTTATGAGTTGGGCCAACCTCAGGGGTAGAAGTGAATTATTGACAGAAGCTCCTACTGTGGGGATCAGGCTCCAAAGTGCTCATGAGTTATCTGTTTGCCTGAGTTATGTGGCAGTCAGTTAGGGAGACTTCCAACTCACCTTTTGCTCTTGGCTATCTGAAATCAATAATTTCAGGTAGTTTTCTTAGTTGAGCATACTGACCAGTAGGGAGATGTGTACACCCCCTAATCCCCCTTCCGCCCTTATGATTTTTTTCCCCAGTAATTCAAAAGATGAAGAAAAAAGTCTCCACAAATACACTAGAGTCACATGGCATATATAACAGTGGCCACTGTGCTAAACAGACATAATTCAGTGCAGAAAGAAACATTTTTTATTATCTCATTGTGGTTTCATGGATAGAAGTTGTCCACTTCTACTCCTCTTCACCTCTGTAATGACAGATATTGGGGTTCAGTTCGTTTTGTGAAGTTGCAGATTTAACAAAGAACTACAGTTTCATGAGGCATTGTCAGTTCTTTGTCAATACAAATCTCCTTGGTAACAATTCAGATATGGTAACTTTGAAGTATGATGCTGAGTATATGATGCAGTGTTCAAATAATTGCTTCCAGTTTCCTGTCTTAAAAATCTGGACTGTAGCTAGGCTATTAACAACTTTTGATTTTGGCCTTATTCAGAAAATTAGATAAGGCCCTAGGACTGTTTATATGAACATTTGCCAAACATATCTGTGAATCAGTGGTAAGAGAAAACCTGTCATACCTTCTTGTTTTAAAGTATACCCTTCATATGCTGAAGAGGAACTGAAACAAAATACTTCAGAGTCAATTAAGCTTACAGTTTCATATCTTGAAATTTGAATTCAGAAGAAATTTTCTGTGCTGCTTTAGTTACCACCATGGGTGCTTGGGGTGTGACTCAGTGGTGAGCCAGCGCTTAGCATGTGCAAGACCCTGGCCCCAACACCAAAACACTACAATCCCCTGGATGGAAAAAGCAGAGGATTGAGTTTAGATATGGATTCACATACATTTTAGGTCAACTAATTCGGTTTAAAAAGGAAAATTCTTAGATTGTCTGTGGTGGTTGCTTTAAGAGGAAAGTGAGTGCAGAAACCAAGGTGTATTTTCACTAGTGAACTGCTTCACAGACATAAGCCAACCATGATTTGCTACCAGTCTTTATTTATAGAAGCTAGGATTACAGACTAGGAAATGCAGAACTAGTCCCAGATTTAGATAGCAGTATGTTAAAGCACCAAACCAAAGAATTCTGAAGAGTCTAGGAAAAGGCTGCTAAAATAAAGTACAATGTAGGTTAGGCGTGGGAAGAATATTTTTCATTGTGTTCTGCACATAGAAACAGTGTGAAATTCTACTCTGATACTACTTAATAGAAAAAGTAGCTGTTGGACAGGTTGAATGAAATGGGTGGAGGAAAAAAAAAAAAAAACAACCAAAGCCTAGTCAGCTGATAGTCTTGTGCTTGTGACAAACTTCCCAGGGAGGTTGTACATTGCTGGGTGTGACTGTTCTGATCATTACTGTCACAAGTTCTTCTGTCCTTCCTGCATTCCTTCCCTTTTCACTGATTTTGTGTGCCATGAGGGTTTTTCTTTGTCTAGTTATAAGAGCTGATTCCACTAGCTGATGGTTGTGAAATGTAACTTGAGACTGAGTAAATGCATGAAGGAATGTGGTGATAATCTGGTATTGCTGCAGTTCCATGTCTGATTTAGATTTCAGCTTTCATCTTTTCTCTCTGAGGACATGTCAATTACTGGGAATGAATCACAGCAGTCTAAATACAGGGGATTTTCATAGAAACTGACAACTGATATAAACTTTTGTCTGGGTCTTATCTTGATAAGCATTGATGACATAACAGGGTAAAGCACTTGTTATTAGTCACCATAAGTAATCATGTCCATAATGACAGTGTTCCAGAGGGAAGGCGAGTTTACTTCATCGCTGAAGTCTGCAAGCCATGGCAACTTCTGAAGCCTTTTCCCCTCAAGTTCCTGCTCAGCTCTGTGCTCAACTGGAATGCTCACTGGACTGGTCCAGGATTCCTGATTCTCCTATTATGACTCCTGTTGTGAGTCAGGCTCTGGCTTAGCCTTATCCTTTTATTGTCAGAATGACAAAAGCTGAATATCTGCTGAACAGAGATGGAGCAAGCTGTGATGGGAACTGGTGAGAGCCATAACTTGTGACCCATCTAAGATTATAATAGAGCTCCCAGTCCAGACTCACCAAAGCGAATCTAGCCTGTAGTCTGTGGAAACACCAAGATTGCTAAGAATTTTCTTTCTTTCTTTTTTTTTTAAATGGGCCTAAAAGGGATGTTTGGATATCAGGTATAAATCCGTGTGTTAAGCTTTATATTTGAAGAGTTTAATCTAAAGTTCTATCAGTTTAGAAAGTTTAGAAAACTACTTTCAGGTCTTTATAGAACAGATATTAATGAAAACCCTTGTTTCTTTCTGTTCCATATTACCCTGCTCAAAGTAAATTTAAAAAAATTAAAAAGAGGAAACAATAACTTAACTTTATGAAATTAAGTTATTGTTTCATCTCTAATGTGTGAAAACCTGTGGAAAGAACTTTTCTACCTTGATTTCATGATTGGGGGTAGGGAAGTCTTCTCTGCTTTGAATTCACTATGTCTTTGGGAATGTTTCCAAATATCTCTGTTTCTACTCTCTTCTAAAAAAGCAGAGATGATAGATTGGGTAGTAATTTCCCAAGTAAGTGATTTTTTTAACGTAGGTTCCTGATTCACTTTAAATCACTGAATCAAATTCCTGCAGGTGGAAACTGTAAAGCTTTGTACAAGGGAGCCAAGTTTGGGAACTACTGTGTAGGTGGTGTTAGGTCCTTTCAGCTCTTAACTTTCAGAAACGGGAAGACTTGGCTCTGAGTAATCAAGGGAATCAAAACTACCTTACAGTAATCGTTTTCCATGTTAGGGAGCAAGCCACATAGATATTTGCTGAAATATAGTCTCAGCAGAGTGAACAGCAGATG